TTAACACACTTCTTAAGAAATCATTTTAGAAATATTAGGAATGAAAAGTGGACTATTGAGCACAAGTAAAAAAAAAACTTGGATTTTTTTAAAATACATTCTCACGAATTTTTGACATGCGAAATAAACCTTTGACATTGAAAGTACATTTTTTCAATTGGTAAAAGTAATTACGAACTATAGTTAGATTTCACTCAATTTTCACGAACGTTTGAGATGAGAAATAAAATTTTGACATAGAGAATAGCATTTTTTCTTTTCCTTTGATGAATTTAATTACGAACTATAGTTAGATTTCAATGGATTTTCATGAACCTTTGAGATGAAAAATAAACCTTTGAAACCTTTGAGCTGGAGAATAGAATTTTTTCTTTTCAATTAGTGAATTTAATTACAACCATAGTTAGATTTCAATCTATTTTTACGAACCTTTGATATGAGAAATAAACTTTTCACGTAGAAAATAGATCTTTTTTTCTTTTCCTTTGATGAATTTAATTACGAACTATAGTTAGATTTAAATGCATTTTCACGAACCTTTGAGATAAAAATCAACGTTTGAGCTAGAGAATAGAATTTTTTCCTTTCAATTGATGAATTTATTTACGAAATATAGTTAGATTTACATGCATTTTCATGAACCTTTGACATGAAAAATAAACCTTTGACATAGAGAATAGAAAAAAATCTATTGTGATCATTGGATTTATTTAACTTAATCATATAATTTACTAAAAAGAAAAATAAAGAAAAAAAATGTATTTCTGAATAAATGTTTACAACGGCAGTAAATCCTGTAATCCATACAAAAAATGACTTCTCTTTCTATTCTTTCTTAGAGGCACTTTACTTTCGAACAGTTCATGTGAATGTAATAACTATACAACGGGCACATACTCTCAAACCCCGCTCTGTCTTGTGGCCGATTTCTTTTCAACGACCTGCTCAAACGGTGGTACATGTACGTACAGTATATCGACGAGTACAAGTACTTGTTCATGCGTTTCGAGCTCTTGGACAGGTGTGTGGGCATGTCTGGAAGATAGACAAAACTTAAACTTGATAGCCATTAAAAATCTTTTTCTTTTATCTCTCTAGGAAGTTATTGTCAAACTCGTGAGTTTATATGTGACTGCTAGAATACAATCAGACAAGCCATTTCTTCTTCCTGTATGTGTTCTTTTAGCTCTATGCTCTAATTGTAATTATAATTGTGATTATGGTTCTTGTAATTCACCGTCGAGCTGTTATTGCAATAGTGGTTCGAATCTGTTTAGAAACTATCTCTAAAGTGCATGGCTAGTTACAAGTACATCTAAAAATGTCCTACATATCTTTTGAATTGCTCATTACCAAGGAACATGCTGTAACTCGACAATTACAAGTGGTCAATGTCTGTTGCTGAGTCCGGCGAGCACAACTTCTTGGGGTGAGCAGTCCACTGAAGGCTATCTCAAATGTTATTCATTTGAAAAAAAAATATTAACTTTTGTCTTCACAGGTGGTGGATTTAACAATACTTTCTATGGTCACGAAAATGATGTACTTAATGTTTCCAGCGCAACAGGAAAAACTCTTACAGTTGCTGCATGTTTCTATGGTATTGATAGTGCCACTCCTGGATGTGGTGGATCGACGGTTTCGGCAAATTGTCTCTCTATGAATGTTTCATCTACATGTCGTACACTATGTAATTCGAGTTATTGCTATTACACAATTGACAATGCAAATTTTGGGACACCTGCTTTGGGCAGGTGAAGACATTTTGGATGTGTTTTACATGCTCTTAATTCGAGATACACTCTAAAAAATTTCCGTATCCTAGGAAACCGAAAGAGGTTCGGAAACCCACTCAGAAACCCTTTTCGGTTTCCGAGAGGGTTTCCGAAGATTAAAAACGTTTCTGAAAATACCTTTTTGGTTTCCGAACGTTCGGAAGCTCAAGAGTTTCTGACAATACTCAATTGAACACTCTGAAGGTATTCTGGAATACCTTTTTCTTGCTTTCGAAAACCCAATATTTTTCTCGGGAACCGGAAAGGTGTTGTCGAAAACCCATATTACCATAAAAATTGGGTTGATAGCCGAAAGGGTATGCGAAAATACCTTTTCATTGCCTAAATGGTTTCCAAAAATACCTAATGTGAAATAGGGTATCATAAGAAACCAAAGTGGGTTTGCGAGAGTACCTAATCTAAAAATGGAATCCTAGGAAACTAAAATGGGTTTGCGACAATACCCAATCTAAAAATTGAGTCATAGGAAACTAAAATAGGTTTCCGAACTCTGACTGAATTTCTAAAGAGCGGATGAGAATTTATGAGTTTCTTGCATGTTAATCGATTTCGTGATTGATATCTGAAAACTTCACAAAAGTAACGATTTGGATTTGAACCTAATTTTTGATATTTTTACTGATGCTCAGCTTCGAGGATTTTTATTCAAGAGAAAAAATCGATATAATGAGTATTTCCTATTAAACTATTCAAATAATATCCTGCGTGAACAGTTCTATGAAATGTATAGCCATATCATATTTCTGAAATAATGGATTGTTATTTTTGTCTTTTAATATTGATCTAATATTTGAGAACATGAGAAAAAACACGATCTCAATGGATCAGAAACGGAATCTATTATAAAGTTAAATCGATAGTTTTTGTATTTGCGTCTCCATTTATTCTTCTGATGATAAACTTTCTTTGGTTCGATTTTAAAAAAAGATATCAAATGTTTTTTTTTCGCGAATTTCTTTCTTTCTATATATAAATAGCTGGTGTTAGGTATCTTTCTAATCTATTCTAAACAAACGGAAGAAGCAATTAGCTAATTTTTAACTTTTTCACGTTTTCTCTTATATCTTAATTTTTTCTTATGTCTTGCTATTGTAATAAACAATTATGCTACTGAAATAAAATGACGATACAAGTATTCTTTTCAATAACAAGAGCACAAATTATATTTATGGGATGGATCACGCACACTCAATTATCTATTATAAATGATATTTCTATTTTTTCTTCTAAAAATTTCTACTGTGTACAATGCAGAAGTCACCTACTTCCTTACTGCCAAAAACAATTGACTTCTTCTATTAATCACTGATGTAGAGACCATATTTCGTTCCACAAATTCATCAAATAATTCCTTATTGCCTTAGCTCTTTCGATTTAAACGATATCATACTACTGAACTATCGAACAAAACATCAAAGTAACTATTCACGCTGATTCCCTTTTCCTGATTGCATATATATCGATTAATGTATCTAATACGGATAAAAGACATTTCACTAAATATACTTTCACTGGAGATACATTCAAAAGAAAAAAAATTTTCTTCTATAAAAGAATTTTCAAGTAAATAAAATATTTATGAAACATATTATATTGATCGAGAGTTGCTGAGTTAATTTCTTCCTTTTAATGCTCAAAACTATGTGCATCAGTGTTCTCACTTTCTTTGATTTCAACATTCTTAGACCATATTTATTGTCAACTCCAAAATCTATTAACCTTCAAAAAATAATTGAATTAAGAAACATTTTCGTATTCCTTTTCACATTCGTTCTATGCATCGATATATCCAGAGAGTTTATTCCAATTCTTCAGCGAAATTGAAACTTAATATTTTTCTGAAATTCGTTTATTATATCTACACATGAGATGATTCTATTCAAAAATTAAACGAAAATGAAGATTTCTTTTTTACTTTTGGGTACCTTTTATATTTGCACAAATCCGGTGAGTATATCTGAATAACTAAATAAAAACCAAATCCTACGTGATTTTTGGATTCATTCTATTAAATGATTGATCGACTGAACTTCAGATATTTCATCCAACAAACGTATGATTCTATTTTAATTTTTAGATTCGTCTTTTCTATTGGTATATCGAATAAATTTATTCCAATTCATTAAACGATAATGAAAATTAAGTTTGTTCTAAATTGGTTGTATGTATCAATATACAGTAAAGTCTATTCGAATCATTAAACAAAAGAAAAGAGTTCTTTTTATTTCTAGATTCGTTTTATGCAACGATATGTTTGGTGAACATATTTGAGGTATTAAATAAAAATAGAATCTAATGCTGTTTTTAGATTTCTTTTCTATATCACTATATCAAGTGTGCTTCTTCAAATTGCTAAACAAAAATAAAGTTTAATCTTTTTTCTAGATTCAGCCTATATATCGATTTATTAGGAGAGTAAATTAGAGTTATTAAATGAAAAATAAAATTTAATTTGTTTTTAGATTGTTTTTATCTATCGATGTATCCAGTGAGCGTATTCGAATCATTCAACAGCAGTAAAGGTTTTCTTTTTTATTTCTAGATTCATTTTATGTAATCCTATATCCGGTGAGTGTATCTGAATTATTAAACTAGAATAAAATCTCATGTTGTTTTTAGATACATTTTGTGTCGATACTTCGGTTGAGTTTGTTCAAAGTATTTAACAAAAGTTAAATTTTATATTTTTTTAAGATCTGTTCTACATATTGATATATTTGGTAAGCATAGTCGAAATAATAAGCAGCAGCAAAGATTTTATTTTTTATTTTTAGGTTCATTTTATGTAACGATGTATTCGACGAGTGGAGACGAATTATTAGGTAAAAATTAGATCTGATATGGTTTTTAGCTTTGTTCTATATACCAATATATCGAGTGAGTTTGTTCAACTTATTAAACAAAAGTAAAATGTAGTATGATTTAGATTGTATATATTACAATATTTTGGGAGTGTATTTCAATTATTAAACGGAAAAAATGTCGTTAACTTTAGATTCGTCCTATGTATCGATAAATCGAGTAAGTTTGTTCAAATTATTACACGACAGTAAGATTTGTCTTCTTTTAGAATTGCTCTATGTATTGATATATCAGGTGAGTGCAATCGTCTTATTAAACAGTATCAAAGACTTTTTTTTCTATTTCTAGGTTCATTTTATGCAACAATGTATTTCGTGAATGCAGTTGAATTAATAAGCAAAAGCCCAACCTGATGTTAATTTTAGATTTGTTCAATGTATCGGGATATCTAGTAAGTTTGTTCACACTGTTAAACAAAAATAAATTTTAGTTCTTTTTCTAGATTTGTCTTACATATCAATACATCAGAAAAGTAAGGAAGTGCTTCAAAATATATTATGGTCAGTTGTTCGTTACCCGTTCATTCCTTTTTCTCAGTACTCCACTATTTCAGTATTCCTATATTTTTCCTCGATTCCTTCCCTGTTCCTTCACTATTCCTGTGTTCCTTTATTTTCCATTCTCAAGTTCGTTTATTTATTTATTCTTTTATATATTCGTTTCTCTACGTTTCTATCACAGAGCATTTGATTCTGTACCACTTTTTCGTTCAAAAATGACCTTTTCTTTTATTTCACATCTTTAAAGATGATTCGTTACTCTTTGGAAATATTAATCACCCATCAATTTGTCGCTTGCAAATTACAAAAAGTAACATCCATTTTGTGCAGAAAAATTTTAGTGTGAGAATATTCGAATGCTGATAACAAGAAAAACTTCTGATTAAAATTGAAATGTTATTAATTTTGTTCTAACCTGTCTTTAGCAATTTTAACTGTCGACGTGTATGTCTTTACTTTATTTGATTAGTAATTACAGATTAATGAATATCAATAGTTTAAGCTATTGAATACTAGAAAAAAAGAATATTATTTCCTTTTTTATTAGAAAACTTTCTTTTTATAAGCACTCAAATAGTCTCACACTAAAATTTGTTTACACGTAATAGACATTTCGTATTTCGATCTCAAATCGATAGATTGATGGGTGAATAATACTTTCAAAGAGTAATTAGTCATCTTCCAAGACATGAAAAAAAAGGAAAGGCCACTTTTGAATGAAAATGTGATGCATAATCAAATGTTTTGTAATAGAAATCGAGAGAAAAGAATAAATAAAAGACTAGATAAATGAAGAAATTGGGGAATGAGGAATAAGGGAAAAGAGGAATAGTGAAGAAACAGGAAAGATATGCAGAAGGCATATAGGAATGATGAAATAGCGGAATGGTGGGGACAAGGAATGAAGAAACAATGACCAATCGATCGGAATATATTTGAAACCATTTCCTTAACGAAATCAAACGTTTTTTTTTTTTTAATTTTTAGAATTGTTTTATTTTTGAATGTATGTGGTAATTTGATTTGGATTACTGAACAAAAATAAAATTTTTGAAACTAAGAATGGTTACGTGTATCAATGGTTTCGGTGAGTTTCAATGAATTAAATTGATGGAAAGGCATTTTGATTTTGACTTTTTAGGTCAGTATTGCAGTGGTACGCTTTGTGGCTGATGAGATTGACTTAGTAACTATTATGGATACGCGAGTGTTGGTTTAGATTTTCATAGGTGCTTATAAGTTTTGATGGTTTTATCACATTAAGAAATGTAGTGAGTTCATATAATGTTTCACAGAAAAATTTTCTTTTCTTTCTCGTGTTTTAGGTCTGGAATTTGGTATGGTTCAGCCTCCATTGGTTTGGTAATGGCGGAAGGATGGGCAGTAAGATAATCAACGTTTCTCTGTAGATTCTGGATATTTCCCATTTTGGATGGTGGTCGTAGCTATTTCTAGATACGGATAGATCTACAGAAGTGCCTCATGGAATATCTGAGATTGCTTTGCATGCTTGATGCTGCTAGTAGAGTAGTAGTGGCATTCAATCTAACCCAGTTAGGTAGAGTTTTTCCTGAATTCGGAAACCTTTTTCTTTGGGTTTTCGAATGAGTATCCGAGGTTTTTGTATAATGTATATTTTGGGTTTCCGAGGTCTCGGAAACCCTTCTTCGGAAACCCTTAAAGAGTTTCCTATAGTAACAAACTCGTAAACCCTCTAAGGGTTTTCGAGGATACCTATTTTTTTTAGAGTGTAGACATATCAATAATTTTGTGTATTCTTTTAAAGTCCCTCCTTCTGTTAACTAAAAGTCTACAGTGATAGTGTAGGCGTAAGCGTGCTTGCGCGTGCAATTATTCTGCAAAGCTTAGACCAAATTCACAGCCACATCCACAGCCCAACCACACCCAGTGGAATACTTGTACAAATAGGATCATAATCCACACCAAATTCCATACTATGGGCTATTTAATTTCAGTCTGAATTTATCAAATAAAAATAATACTTGATTTCAAACTGAAACGTGAGTCTAGGAGGGGGGGGGGGGGGGAGTGACTGAGGGTGTGGGTGTTGGTCTGGGACCCCCACACACACACACCCATGGTGCGGGTGTGGGCGCGCGAGTGAGGGTGAGGGTGTGCTTGTGGCTTTGTGTACTATAGGCTTTAGTCCCCTGCACAAGGGACTAAGCGGGGACTAAGCTTTTTGTGGGGGGGACTAAGGGGGACTTTGCAGGACTAGGGGGGACTAAGGGTTTTTAGTGGGACTACGTAGTATCAAACGAGAAAAGTTTGATTCGGAAGAAATTGGTGCGGTTTTTTTGATTTTAGAATTCAGTTTGAAATAAAAAAGCCCATAGACTCCCAAATTCAGATGGAATAAACCATTTGATGTCTACATCAGTTGCAGATTCAACTAAAGTTGTACCAAAACTATTGAATAATCCTTCTCTATCCACAGTCGAAATGACCATATCTTGACCAATAAGAGGTTTAGTCAATGCATTATTATTTCAATAATCGATTTTGATCACTTTAACATAGGATGGAAATGTTTTTTTTCGAATTATTACGAGAAAGAATGCTTACATTGAAGGTAGAATCAGCAAGACGAGCTGACAGAATATTTTTATCAGCAGTAAAATGTTTTTTTGTAAGTATTAATAGTCATTTTTATCATTAGTCAATCATATACAACCTCTTAGTTACTAATATTTTTATACTTTATTTTAAGTCGTAACGATGACAACATACCTCTTTGTCCTTTCTACGAGGTAGAAGTGTACATACGCTCGAGATATTCTGTAGTGTAACGTATGCATCATCACTACGAACATATCAACGAAAAATACCATTTTATCTAGAATAAAGACAAGTGAATTGCTCCTGGGTAGCCATCAAAAAGTTACTATTAGTATATTCAGATAACTCTCAAAAAATACATCGATTGAATTGTAAAAGCTCCAGTATAATATGCAACAACAATTTCTGATTATCCATCATGATTCAAATCATCATCAATGACAACAAAAGGAACAGACTCATGCATTGCGTGCTATTGAAAGAGTTTATTATCGACCTTAGAAGATATGATAAAGGGAGAGTCAGATAAAGAGATATACTTGAAGAAAAAATCCTTAGAAACAAACGAAAAAAACAAATGCACACAATAAAAAAAATCAATGTGGTAGG